TTGTGGACTTCAACTCCCAGAATTCCTCAGCCAACTGGCTGAGGAATTCTGGGAGTTGAAGTCCACAAGTCTTAAAGTTGCCAAGGTTGGACACCCCTGGTGTAGGGTCTCCTGCCTTGGGGGAGGTGGTTGGACTAGATGGCCATGAATAAGCATTCTTTGTTCTTGCCAAACAGACTCCACGATTACAAGCTTCCAGGTCTCTTTTCAAGTGCATGCCATAACCTTGCTTTGTTCTAGCAGCAACCCAGTGGTGGGATTCAACATTTTTTACCACTGGTTCTGTGGGCGTGGCTTGGTGGGAGTTTTAGGGGAAGGATCCTGCAAAACCCCATTCCCTCCCCACCCCATTAACCTACTTTCCAGCTCCATTCTCCTGTGCAGGGCAACAAAAGAAGACCCAGTCGATCAGCTGGGACTCAGGAGACAGAGAATAGATGGGGGCGGGACCAGTGGTATTTGCGGTTCTCCAAACTACTCAAAATTTCCGCTACCGGTTCTCCAGAACTGGTCGGAACCTGCTGAATGCCACCTCTGCAGCCAGCACATCACAAACTGCTACTTTATTATGTTGGAAGTTAAAACCCACCCATCTCCTAGGAAAATGAAATGTTTTAGGATATGCTAAAAAGGCAGAATATTTCCCCTAAAAAGAAAAGTAGAAACTCAGAGGCAGAAACTCAGCCCCACACCTTTGCTAATGGCCCATTACTCTGGCCTGGGCCAGTCTATTTTACATAACAAAGATCTACTCCAGGTAGAGCTATCATAGGAATTGCCCAAAGCCCTTTCGTTACATCATCATCCAGCAAGGCTCAACCAAGCCTGGCACTCACGACAGCCTACAGAGTTGCCCCTGTATGGCCCCATGGGAGTCTGACAACCAATCAGAATATGAGCTGAAATTCAAATCCCAACAGAAGGCATAAAACCCAAGGGTCTCTCAGCATCTTGCCCCTTCTTTTTCCTCGCCCAACATTTTGAAGCATGTGATTGTCCTGTTCACTTTGGAGCTCCAAGCCATGTGGTCCTGTCCACCATTAAACCATCTTTCCAAACAGCCTCCATGTTTCCAGTGTCTTTCTTCCCCACTTGGAACTGAACCCAGAAGGATATTTCTTCCAACAATTATTTTCATTTAATCAGCTTTTAAAATACTTTTAAAAATACTACACGGAAAGCAAAAGAATGGGCTCATTTACTGCTAATCCTTTTGAGAAAAAGTGATTGGAGTTGAGGTCTGGATGGGAGCGGGGAGAAGTGGTTTGAGGGTTTCGTTTCTTTCCCTTCTCCGCAAGATCTGGGAAAATGATTCACATTAGCGGTCAGAAATGAAACTCGCTCTTGCAGGGAGCGAGCGCTGTTTCTCGGGAAACAGAAAGTTCTCGGTATTGTCGATTTTTTTCGTTGCCGGGATAAGTTTCGATTTCTCTTCACCGAGAAACTGAATGGGAAGGAGTTCCGTTCTGCGGTGCGGATCATTTAGTCTTCTCCCGACCTGCGCCGAGAAAGCATCGTCTTCTCCTCCGACGCTCCCAGCCTGAAAGGTAGGAGCGTACAGTATGGAAGGGATTTCAAATTGCACGCCCTTTCCTGGCGGAATGTAGTTCGTTTCAGCGGAGGGAATTAAATAAGACGCCGGAAGATCCTAATGATCGAGGTAGTTTGGAGGCCAGGAAAGGGGGTCCGACGGAAATATGCCTCGGAAGGGTTGGAATAACAAGAAAAGACGGAGGGTCCCGAAGTTTTCAAGTTTTCCCTACTGAGGAGCGCAGAGATCCTTTGAGCATCAGGAACAAGACTGAATTCCCAACTAATCACTGACTTTTTGCAGATTGTAGAAAGGACTCCTGTGCAAGCTACGTGTGTTGGTAAAACCGTGGTTTGCTTAATAAGCCACAGTACTTGATTTCACACAAGAAGCTAAGGTAGAACCGTAGATCATAAGTCACAGCGATGGAGCTTACTTAGAGTTAAATGTGCGAACGTTCTTGCAGTGTTTACGAATTTCTGCTTGATCTTGAAAGCAGCAAATGAACATTTGGAGGAGTGGTGGGGTTAAATAAAATTAATTTAGCAGGAAGGCAGGGGTTCAAGCCCTTTGAAAACAAGTTGTATAATCACATAAAAATTGCATGTCTGAGGATACTTGTCTGCCCTCAAATGGCATTTAATTGAATTTCTGACAGTGAGAACAATCAACCAGTGGAACAGCTTGCCCTCTGAAGTTGTGGGAGCGCCATCACTTGAGACTTTCAAGAAGAGATTGGACTGCCATCTGTCAGAAATGGTGTAGGGTCTCCCGCTTGGGTGGGGCTTTGGACTAGATGACCTACAAGGTCCCTTCCAACTCTGATTGTATCTGAATGTAAGAAGGGGAGGCTGTCAGTAAGACCAATGGTTTGGAGGTGCCTTTTAGCACATCCAACAACAATCTTTAGAGACTTTGTTATGGCTTGTAGCTGCTTATTTTAACAACGAAGCTTTTCCTGAAGAGAATCCAGTTTTCAACAGGTCAGCACCTTTTTTTGTTTGTTTGTTTGAGGCAATGCACAATTTATGCCACAATTATTGACAGGTGTTTATGTAATGCTTTGATTATGCATTTTCTCTGCTAGCATACTTTCTAAATTATCATTAGCTGCTGATAAAAGCAGTTAAAAGTGGACATCACTTTTATGTCCACCCATTGGATCAGGTGAGAATGTCACTGATATTATGGCAGCATCTTTATGAACTAACAGTGTTTTTATTCCAGAACATATTTTGCTGCATAGACACTACAAAGTCTGCCATGAAGAAATCCAGCAATACTGAGTTCAAAAAGGTACTGCTATGGCATATGTCCAGATTATAATGTGTGTTGCCAATTAGGCAAGGCTGGTTGGGTGATTTTGGGGGCAGTTGCTCTTATTCAACATTCACAGGGTTGTTGTAATGGGGAAATTGGAGATGAGAGCGTTAGGTCTACATACTACATTCTCTCTCTCTCTCTCTCTCTCCATATATGTGTGTGTGTATGTATGTATGTTTTCTTAAGTTTTTGTGGGTACTTACATGTATGATATTCAGCTTTGTTCGGGTATTTTCCCACGTCCCTCGACGAACACTATACAGAAGCCTGATGATGGCAGATGAGATTCTGCCGAAACGTTGCTACAACTTTAAAAGCACAACTATAATGATGTGGGAAAATATCCGAACAAAGCTGAATACCATACACACACACACACACACACACACACACATATATATGTAGGTCTAGGTGTGTTCGGGTCTTTTCCCATGTAAGATTAAGAGTATCTTGGCGACGTTTTGGCGAGGTCCCACTCTCCATCCTCATGCTTTCGGCTTCATGCCAGTGCAAGCAGTGTGTGATTGGAGCTGCCGTCTCTCTATAAATACTGGTGGTGGGGGCTGGTGTGCTGGGCTGGTTGGCTGCACTGCTGCCTCTTGATTGGTTGATGGAGTTGATGTTGGTATAATGGGCAGTGTGATAGCCTTGTGAGTTTTGTTGTGGAGATATCCTGGATCTTGTGCTGTAATCTCCTGGGTCATTTGTTTTTTAGTGATCTTTTTTCCATTAGCCTCTCGTGTTTTAACAGCTTGGGTAATGGGTTGTGTGATGGGCTTGCGAGTTCTTTTGTTGTGTCAGATATATATGTGTGTGCGTGTGTGTATGGTATTCAGCTTTGTTCGGGTATAGCACAACTATAATGACGTGGGAAAATACCCGAACAAAGCTGAATACCATACATATAAATACCCACAAAAACTTAAGACAATATATATATATATATATATATATATATATACACACACACACACACACACACACACACACACACACACACACACACACACTACACACACACATATTCATATACATATGTATATAAATAAAATCATATTTGGAAAAAACAAACAACCCTAAAACACTAAAGACAGCAAAGCTATACCTGTAGTCAATGTTTAGCAACCACAACTGGGACTGAAAACTTGGCACTAAGTGGAAAATCACATGATCATGATAGATTTATTTCCCCTTGGGTGATTAAGTGAAGGGCTGTAGTTGTTAAGCAAAAAGTCACATGACCATGACATGATTTTATTTATATGTTCACTATTCACTCTGCTTGTCACAGACCAGTTGCAAAGCATACATATGGCAATTACATCACCATGGGGTGCTGCAGTGCTTTAGATGTAAAAATTGGTCCCAAAGTTGTGTTCTTTTTTCCATTGCCGTAACTTTGAACAGTTGCTGCCCAAGTTAGTCAGAACACAAGGACTATCTGTACCTTTCTTCTCAGTCATCAGCTTAACTTCCTAAACTGTGTTTAGGCATCTGTACATGAACTGAATTGACAAGAGTTATTTTTATGAGGCAAAAGGAAACTAAGGTGCAATCTTGCAGGGTTTTTTAAAATGTTCATTACCTTTTCTGTATTAGTAATTCTTTTCATGGGAAGTACAGTTCTAGCTCTTTTGGGAGCTAATTGTGCTGTCCAGACAATTTAGAGTTGATGGGATTTGGGATAGTTAGTTAGGATTTGAGAGCTGTCCCCTTAAGGGAATGCATCATGCTAAATGTAGTTAAGGTATCCTGGGAAATGTAGTCCATGTCATGTGGTCACATCTGTAATCCTGATTGGTCACTAAATTGACCCTTGTTGGGTTGGGGGAGGCTCCCTCACTCTTGCCTGAAACCACCATACGATGTAGTTGCTTCAATCATCATGGGGTTGAGACTTTATTATCTTTCTACACCACAATGCAGATATGCAAAGGATTGGACATTAAGAAGAGCCTTGTCATAACTGGGAGTTGATAAAAATGCTTGATGAACCAATAAAAAAGACTTTGTATGGATGCTTTGTGGAGTTGTTCTGTCTGCTTTATGCCATCCAAATATTAATATGCAGAACAAGATTTCCAAATTAAAGAAGATTAAATTCCAAGGTCAGTAGAGGAGGCAACTGTACATTTTGTTTTATTTCCTTAGGAGGCAGAAAATTATCTGTGCAGCCAGTATGAACAGAAGATCCGTCCCTGTATTGACCTCATTGATTCACTGAGAGCCCTTGGTGTGGAAAAGGACTTGGCATTGCCAGCAATTGCTGTGATTGGAGATCAGAGCTCTGGAAAAAGTTCAGTTCTAGAGGCCTTGTCTGGAGTTGCCCTTCCTAGAGGCAGTGGTGAGAATTTTCCCAAAGCTTTTCTTAGACTTCCCTAGCTGGTACTATTCCAATATGTTGGCCTACAAGTCTTATTGCTATACCTGGGGGAATGGAGTTTATATTCATCTTGAGAACCAGCTGCTGTAGACAGGTTTTCAATTGGAATGAAGCTTTTGAGGGATGCTCAATTAGCTTTGTGAACTTCAGGAGCCTAGAACAAATGTGAACTTCCATATTTTTTTAATCAGAACATGTAAATCAGGCCATTCTCTACTTATTTTCCTTCTTATTTTTATATTAGCTTCAACAAAATCAAAATCACTTTGTCCTAATTTTCCAAACCAGAGGGCTTCTGTGTGTATAAAAAAAAACCCTGTAATCATATCCAAAGACAGTTACTACCCAGCACTTAGTTGAATGGCATTCAGAATAGGTTTAATTTTTTTTTAATTATTTAAATTTTAAAGTAAAAACTGTGTAAATTAAATTTTTTAAAACTATGCAAAACAAAAAACAAAAACCAGAAACCAAGAAATGGACAGTACAGTATTTAGTTGTTATTTTTCTTTCTGCTTCTTTTCTTGATTATGTTGTTAAATCTTCTATATATCTATTCTATTCTTTAGTCTTTATTATATATTATTTTAAAAGGGCTGTATGTATGTTCTAGCATAACTCTGAAACGCCTCAAGCAATTTCAACCAAACTTGGTAAACAGATGACTTACCCTTTGGAAACAAAAAACACTGTGGGGGTAATACCCCTCAGGGTGTGTGTGTGTGTGTGTGTGAGGGGGGGGGGGTTTCTATCAGTTCTCACCTATTCGCTAGAACTGGTTGTTAACATTCTAAGCAGTTCGGAGAACTGGTTGTTAGAAGAAATTATTGGCCTAATCCTGTAAGGAAGGCAGGAAGGAAACATTCTGGTGTTGCTTACAGAAACTGCCTCTTCGTTAACCCTTATTACATTCTTGGCAGGACTAGACTTCCTGTCTCAGGAACTTCTCTGGAGTTTTTTTCCCCTCCTTTGCTGGTACTTTGCTTGTGTGGAGTGACCACTCAAAGTTACAATGGCACTGAAAAAAGTGACTCATGACCATTTTTCATACTGTTGCAGCATTCCCACAGTCATGAGAGGCCAGAGATGCGTGCCTCAATGTGAGTGATATTGAGTTGGCCAATAACATGACCACCAAGCCACATCCACCTGGTCACATGACCATCAAGCCACGCCAATCAACTAAGCCACACCCACAGAACCGGTTGTTAAAAAATTTGAATCCTATGCCTGGATGTGTGCCTTAAAATGGCTTCTGCTATGGTAATGGCTTCACAGGGCTCCCTCTTGTGGAGGAATAGAAGAACTGCGATGCTGTGTGAGAATACAACAGTGTCAATCCCTACTACAGGTTTTTCCTGTCTAATACAGGATTGGGATAAATAGATACCCGGGCAACACCAGGTTATCAGCTAGTATCTAATAAAATAGATGATATCTGTAAAATTAAGAAAAATGTTTAACTTTGCAGGGATTGTTACCAGATGCCCCTTGGAGCTCAAGATGAAAAAAAATAATAAACAAGAATGGAAGGGGAAAATTATGTATCTGGAAACAGAGGTGAAACTGGAAGATCCATCAGAGGTGGAAGCTGCAGTTAGGAGAGGTAATATTCAGTAACAATAGAATGGGTTTTGTTTTCCTTAAAACAATCAATATATATAGAATTTTAGCTTACAATAGTTCTTTAATGATAGTGAAGGATAGAAGTAGAATGAAGGTTTACACTAGTAGCTTACAGTGGTTTCACTTCTAAACATATTTCTGCTTGTATTTGATATTTGATTTTAATTCCATTGACTTTTAATCTAAATATATAATCATGTTTGCTGCTGTTAGAAATTTCAAATGGTATTATATTTTCATAATCTTACTTTAAAATGTTTACTGAGAAAACAAAGGAGGGTATATATTTCTTTTCTACTCTCAGATTCATGTTGTACATTCCATAAACAAATTCTGCTTCATAGCCATGAGAGTACAAATAGTTCTCAATTTATGACAGACAACCATATTTCTATGGTTGAACATACCACAAATTATCTATATAACCCACCTTAGTGAATATTGAGTTCCTCTTTTCCCTAACTTCATTTTTTCAAGGTTCTTTTATTTTTATGTACATTCAGGGCAAAGTTGCTGTGTTATAAAGCAAAGTATCTCCACTTTTGTTTTGTTTTGTTTTTTATTTCTAGAAACGTCTGTGGCTCCACATAAGTATTTTTTTTTTTCTTCAAAACTGGAGATGGGTGCCATTCAGCTTTGGTTTGGAAATGGGTCGTTGTTTTTTTTAAAAAGTGCAAAGACCACTTTGGATTATAAAGTATTATGGAAAGCAGTGGGAGTGATAGGAAATATTCTTCAGTCTGCCCTTGAAATCTGTGGGTTTTTTTAAAAAAAATAATTTGCAGTATTTTATAACTAGTTGTGCCCGCTGTGGCAACTCTTTTGCATAAATAGCCATGCACATTCTTAGATTTTCAGAAGTTCTTACTAAATCAAGCAGGTTGCCTGGTGCTACAATCATTTTTCTCTTGAAAACATTTGCTATATATTTTTTTGCGGTGGAGTGGCGGGAATTGGGCTAGGAAATAACAGATTCTATTCTATGAAATTTAAAAATGTAAAATGAGAGATTATTCCAAGATTGACATTGAAAGGACTAGAGTAAAGTTTAATCAAGCTGCCAAAAGCATGTTTAGATTGTGAGAGAATTGTGAGAGGGTATACATTTGATTGATAAATAGTTTAGAATGGAATATTTTGATGTTCTATCCATGTTAGAAGATATATTTTTTCTCGTAACTATCCTTGTGTAATTCCTTTTAATTGTAGCACAATTATCCTTTATTTTTGATTCTGCTTTTTCACTGGCCTGGCACTAATATCCTGGTTTTTAACAATAAATTAAGCATACAGTGTGTTTCAACCTTGCTATGAATTATGATACAATAAATGCTAGCTAGTATTGCTTTCCCAAGTTATTCTGTGTAGATCATCTCATTATAGCTATGAAAACAGAAATAATACTGCAGAAAATGTTAGCTCAGTAAGGAAATCCCTCTACTAATATTTATTAAATACTTGCACAGCTTTCCAGCTTGGCTTTTAAAAATATAGTATTGTATTATCTATGTATCACATTGTAAAATTTAAAAGATATGTGTTATGAAATGATTTTAGCATGCTGTCTCAAAATATTTACATTTGAGTACACAGAAGTACAGGAAACCTGTTTAAAAATACAGTATATGCTAGTCTGTTTTCTTCAGAGGTCTTTTAAAACAAATGGTGGTTTGATAAAACTACTCTGTATAAAGAGTTTCCCATAACTGAGTTTGCTGCTTTGTTTTGCCTCACACAATATAGCCCAGAATGCAATAGCTGGTGAAGGACTGGATATTAGCCCCAAATTAATTACCCTGGAAATTAGTTCTCCAGATGTTCCAGATCTCACGTTAATTGATCTTCCAGGAATTACAAGAGTGGCAGTAGGCACTCAACCACAAGACATTGGCAATCAGGTAAAGTAAAAAAGATTTTGTAGTGATAGGTATCTGATTATCAGTTGAATTGGGGGCATGAAGATATGACAGCATTGTTTACTGCTAATTTCTGCTAGGAAAGATCTTTACACGTTTCAGAAATGAGATGTACAGGTAGTCCTCCGTTACTGATTGCCTCAATAAGTGGCCATTTGAAGTTACGATGGTGTAAAACCTATAGCTTTGCTACAGATGCATTTATGGCAGCATCCTGCAGCTACGTCATCACTATTTGTGTGCTTTGCAACTGGCTTATGACAAGCAGAGTTAATAGAAACATAGAAGTAAAACAATTCTGTTCATGTGATGTTTCACTTAGTGACTGTTCAGACAGACCAAATCAGAATTAAGGTGTTTTTTTTAAAAAAACAAGTTTTATTAATTTCAAAAACAAACAAATCATCATCAACCATTACATATTTGAACCTTTTTCCATTATAAATTTTACAAGTCAGATAAAACCTTATCTTATACAATACAATTCTATTTTAAACCATTTCTAAATGAACATAAAAACATCTCTTGTCCTCTATTTCTTTCTGACTTGATTATCGTCATTTTCTTTCTATACTTCTAAAAGGTTTCACCAATACTTCTCAAAAACATAAACAGACACAAACAAACATATAAAAAATCTTTTAGTAAAGTAACTTGGCCCCCGGTACCTCTCTTTATATGGGCTTTAATTATATTCATGCTCATCTTACAGATCATTACCTATTTTATTTACCATTCTGTATCTTCTATATATACTTCTCCACACATTTCACTCTTCATAATTCTATCTTATTCAATCTATCTTAATTTAAATCATTAAATTTGTATCTTTTGCCCATCCTTTATTATCACTCTATCTCATTCCTTATACTGAAAAAAAAAGAATTTCTCCTGAAATCTCTAATCAGAGTATGATGCCTTTCTATCCCCTCCCTAAATATTAGATTAACATTTAAAATGACACCTAATATCCTATCTGATTCTGCTTGGTACATTCTATCAATTAATTTTTACTTTTAATAACAATAAAAACAGAGTAATAAATCAGAAATGTTTAAATACATAGTATCCTCCTAAATACGTAGTTAAATAATAAATCTAAATAATAAATCTTATAACATTCTAATTGCCTTTCCCTTCAATATTTTATTACATTTTAAAAATCAATCATTATTAAACATTTCAACATTTTAACTTCTTATTAACTCTTAAACCATTCTAATTTTCTATTTCTAATACAAATATTACAATACCGTCTTATGTACCTTGCAAAATCTTTTTTTTTAAAAAATTATACTTTACCCTTTATCCCTGAAAAAGATTCCTCTTTTCCCATCCAACTTTAAAACTTTGTGGCTTTTCTCCGCCTTTCCCCTTTCTTTCTTCCCCCACCCGATCTTCCTACCCCCCCTTCTTCTAACCTCTGTCTTGCTGGCATCCCTTCTCTGTTGTATTCCCTTTTTCTCTTGTTTGCTATCATTATATTTATTTTGCATCATATTTTTCTCTTTCTTAAATGTTTTTTTAGATCTTAAGTCCTTCATTTTCCTCGCTTTCTTCCTTCCTTCTTCCTTAGGTAAATTTTGGGATTCATTAAAGATGGTGTCTTCATCTTCTTCTTGTTGTAATTCCATCTGTCGCATTGTCTGTTCATAGTTAACCAGCGCCATTTCTAAAAATAGAAAAGCTTTTTCCATACCATCTTTACAGGCTGCTTTTGTTTGCTCATATTCATCCCTCAGTTCCTCAAGGGAGAAAGCCATTATAAATCTTTTCTTTTCTTTTTCCCCTCTTTCTTACTCCAACCAAAATATTCCAAAAGGAAAATAAGACAATCCCAAAGTCCACAATCCTCAATCAATCCAAGCCAAGCCAAAATTCCCACTTTCTCTTCCAGGGGTAGTATCAGACAAAGGAAAAAAGAAAATCCAAATCTGTGTTTTGAAGCCTTATTGAAAATTTTTTTTTTCTGTCTCCAAATCCTTAAGGCATCTCCTCCAACAAAATCCAACCAGATAGATATATTTTTTGTCCTCTCCCTTCTGACTTATCCCATAAAGCTAGTTTTACCTGAAAAAAAAACAGGTTTCTCAATATCCGTTTGTTAATTCCGTCAGGAGGGAGAGTAAACTTTCCTTTCAGCACCTCAGAATTGCCGCTTACTTTCTCTTATGGAAAGAATCATCCAAAAAGCCATCACTTCCAGGAATTAAATTAAATATATCTCAGAGTCCTGGATCGACCAAGAAGACTTTCACTTTTAAAAACTTTCTCCTCTTCCTCCAGCGCATACTTGCCCAGCTACCGGCTTCTTTGTGGCGGCCATTACAGACCGCCGCTACGCCGTCTTGGTAAAAGGAGGTTCTGCCGGCCAGGGAGGGGGTCTGCAATACCCCCAAACCCTTTTCCGGATCCCCCCCACCTTCAGCTGCCCCTGCAGGGCAGCCTTGCTCCGCACCCTTTCGGATCGGAGCCCCAAAAATGGCTAGCGCGGCAGGGATCGCGCAGCTTCGCGAATCCCTACCGCTCGCAAAGCCGACAAACCGGAAACTCCAGAATTAAGGTTTTAAAGTGTTTGTGATGACATGAGTTTCTGCTTAGTGATGGTGGCGCTTAATGACCAAGTTGCCTGTCCCAGTTGTGGTCCCTAAGCAAGGACTATCTATAGAATTTATCTTCCCTTTAGTTGATCTTTATTCAATGAATGGATTCCAGAAATTATGTTGAGTTTACGCAGTGTATTTAATGTGTCTTGGAATGCCAATGGAACTGAATAATATTCCCAACCTAGTAATCATGATATCCAGATGTATGGAACTCCATAGTGTTCCCTTGTTTAGGCTTCCTGCTCTTGATATATAAGCCTCTGGACAGAGGCTACTCAATATCTGGATAAAGTGGACAGGCAAATTGTTGCTCCCTCACAGATATTGAATGCTCTACATAGAAGCAGCATCTGTGAAACAAAATTTGGCCGGTGGGGGTTAAAGTAAGTTGCAGGTTATATACTATACATTACATAATACTTTCATTATACATAATAAATTTATGCATAGTTATGGTAGCCTTGATAGAATAAATTATTTCTTCTTTCCAGCTTTATTGAAAATAATTTTATCTTCTACCTATGCCTGACATAAAATGCAATTTAATTACAGATCATGAAATTAATTAAGAGTTATATTACCAAACAAGAAACCATCAATTTGGTTGTGATTCCAAGTAATGTTGATATTGCTACTACAGAGGCATTGAAAATGGCTCAAACAGTAGATCCCGAAGGAGAGAGAACACTTGGTAAGTTAACGAGATCATTAAAATATTTTTTCTACTCATGAAATACTGTAGGATACTACTGTAAAAAAAATTATTAGAAATTAAGGTGTTTTTTTTTTTACTTTTTAAAAAGTTATTGGAAGTCTAATTTTAGTAAATTTCTGGTTATCGATGCAATCGTCAAGAATGAAACATTGGCAGCGATGTGTCTCTTCATTTCAACTTGTCATTAGAGTTGGGAGATGTTGATTACATGGGTTAGTTGGAGAAACAAAACTTCTACCGTTCCACTGAAATTTGTGACTGTCTGGAAAGTTTTCAAGGATGTCTTAACAGGTGTGAAGAAGAAGGCAGATGGTTCCCATAATAAAGAGAAGTTGTTTACATGGTCTACGTGGAAGCATGGGATTTGGGCAGGGAAATTCATTGTTCAATATTGTGAACTGGTGCCTGAGAATTTCAGGATTATTTTTACCTCGCCATTATCAAAAGCTCATTGTTTATTGTTATCAATAAACAATGAGCTTTTCAGACACGAAATGATCCTGGGCTTTTTTTGGGATCCTCAAGCTCTGGATGTTGACAGTTGTATATTTCAAATATGCTCATACAGATTACCCTGAAATTACAACCATTTGTTTAGTGAATGTTTGAAGCTTATTTTTATTTATTTAAACATTTATATAGCTACCTTCTTATAGCCAGTTCTGGCTGCCTCCCAATTAAGGATTAAAAGAGCATAAAAGCATATTAAAATGATAAAAACTAAAAACAGCAAACAACAAACAACAAAAACATGGCGCTAAGTCAAATCTCTGATGTCACCTCACCTTATCGGTAGTGTTCTGTCTTTAGACTGCTGGCTGAATATAAAGACAGTCAGATTAAACTCTACAAAGGCTTCCATACAAAGTTTCTTTATTGGATCACAAGGCATCCTCAGATATAACTCATGGTTATGTCGAGATTCATCTAATGTCCAATTCTTTGCATAGCTGACTTCATAGTGTAAAAGCATAGTGATCTTTCATCCCATAACAATGGAGCAGAGAGGGTGAGACACCAGCACGCTGCTGGGGTCCAGGCAAGAATGAAGGAACCTCCCTCAACCCAACCAAGGGTCAATTCAGTGACCAATCAGGATTACAGATGTGACCACATGACATGAACTACATTTCCTGGGATGCATTAACTACATTTACCATGAGGCATTCCCTTAAGGGGACAGCTCCCAATTCTAACTTAACTATCTCAATTCCCATTACCTATATACTGTCTGGACAGCACAGCTAGGGCTTCAGAGATTTACCAAAAGCTAGGAAGATCAAAGTCTGCTGTACTCCAGGAGGCAGAATGTTCCATAGGCTGCCATGGAAAAGGCACACTTCTGAGCTCCCACAAGATGGCAATATTTATGGGAAGGGACTAGGAATGTGCCTACCCTATCTGACCTGGTAGAACAGGTAGATATCATTAAGGAAAGGTGGCCCTGCAGATAACCTGGCTTTGTGCCATACATGGTGCTAATGGTAATGACCAGCAGCTTGAATTGCATCTGGAAAGAAAATGGAAGTCAAAACAGGCCACAGAACTAAGGTGTTATGTGAACAAACCTAGCCTTCCCCCCCACCCCCAAATTACGGTGTGTGCTGCCACAGGGGTAGTTATTTTCTGAGTACTACAAAAACTTAATGACAGCATTGAAAAGAATGATTTAATGTCCAGTTCTCACATTTATGACTATTTTAGGGTCCATGGACATGTGATCCAGACCTTTGTCAACTGGCATCTATTTACAACAGTTGCAGGGTCTTGGGGGGATCATATGATCAGTATTTGCAACCATCCCAGCCAGCTTCCGACATGCAAAGTCAATGGGGGAAACCAGATTCCCTTAATAAGCATAGTAAAAAAAAGTGTTTAACATTATTAAAAAGATCAGACATTTGGGAATTTGTTTTTTAAAAATAATGAATTATTCAAAATTTACCTTTTGAGTTGGAAAAGGATAACAGCAGATATTTCTAGAGGGAAAAGCTACTGTGGTGCTTAAAAGTTTGTGAACCCTTTATAATTTTCAATATTTGACTTACAGCTGTTCATTTTATGACCAAAGTTACAATGGCCTCGGAAATGGTGCTTTACAGCCAGTAAAGCTACTTGAAAGCCCACTTCTTCAAAGCCAGCAGTGAGGGGAAAATAAATAGCTACTCGGTGGTGTGCGTGTTTAGGACAGTAATTTTTTCAGACTGAATGTGGTTCAGGAATGAAGCAGTCTTAGGTTAGATTAAGCCCCAGCCTTTCTCAAGTAAATGAGTATGTCTGTCTTTTCCATCAATTATTTCACAGGTATTCTAACCAAGCCTGATTTGATTGATGAAGGAACTGAGGACGAGACCATTGATATTGTCCGGAATCAAAGAGTGCCTCTGAAAAAGGGATACATGATTGTTAAATGTCGTGGGCAGAGTGACCTCACTAATAAACTGAGCTTGGAAGATGCAATCAAGAAAGAGAGAGAATTTTTTGAAGAGCACAAGTTTTTCAGGTAGGATTTAGAAAATAATTCCTGAACATGGTTTTGCAAAATGTGCTCCTTTATACATCATAGTTTGTGTGTATCTCTATGAATATGCCTGTATACAAACTAAAGACTGGTGAAGTTTCATGTGTCATGTGCTTTAGCACTTCTAGTTAGTGACTGATGCTTACTCCCCACTTTGTTTCAAATTATCACCAAATTATTTGACCTCATAGTTTAACTACAGAGCATATAATCCCAGTCCATCTGAAAGACACTGAGGAACACTGAGATGATACAAATGATAATTTCAATATTACTGAGTTCTTGAATTTTATTCACTCTGATCTCCCCAGCCGTCTTTTGGAAGAAGGCAGAGCTACCATCCCATTTCTGGCAGAAAGACTTACACAAGAGCTCACTAAACACATTCAGGTAAGGAACTCTCCATTCATTTCAGGTTGAAGATGAAAGATATTCTGTTACATGTGCAATTTCACACCATGGTTTTGATTGGACTGTGTTGAGATGCATCATCAGAATCCCAATTACTGTATATACTCGAGTATAAGCCTAGTTTTTCAGCCCATTTTTTGTGCTGAAAAAATCCCCCTCGGCTTATACTCGAGTCAGATTCCCCTCTGAAAAAAAAATGGTGTGGAATCGCGGCCTCCGGCGGCAGCGACTCCCAACAGCCCCAGCCGGGAAGGGAAAGGCAAAAAGCGCTTTGCCTTTCCCTTCCCGAGGCGGCGGGACTGGGGCCGCGCCGGCGGTAGTGACTCCTGACTCAGGGGGCCTCCGAGGGAGGGGAAGAGAGTGACTCCTGCCTCCCGCTGTCATCATCATCTTCTTCTTTTGGGTTAGTGAATCAATTAAACCTTTCATGATAGTGAGATCGTTTCCCAAATTAATTATTTTTATTTTTGAAATTTACCAGTAGCTGCTGCATTTCCCACCCTCGGCTTATACTCGAGTCAATAAGTTTTCCCAGTTTTTTGTGTAAAATTAGGTGCCTCGGCTTATATTCGGGTCGACTTATACTCGAGTATATACGGTAGCTCTTTTTGTAGAAAGGATGAAGCATTTGGTGGGCAGATTTGCATCCTACTTAAGCTGCACTGCTAAGACAATACATAATGGCAACATATGCGTATTTCTATCCTTAGGCATCTGATTCATACTGTAAGAGGGATTCCTAGGACCAGGATTTTGTGTGTGTATTTGTGCGTGTGTGTGTGCATGTGTGTGAATATTGTTATATCACTTGGCAGCTGCTAAAATTGGTAGGTTTCTACTACAAAATGTCAGATGAATGGTTCTGTCAATAGTTAAAATTTCTGAACTTGCAAAAGGATTATAGTTTTACACATTTCCTTTAGCTAATTTTATTGTTGTTGCAGAAAACACTGCCAACTTTAGAACAGCAAATAGTAACCAGCCTTGATGAAACTTATCAAAAACTTAAGAAGTATGGTGAAAGTGTTCCTGAATCCTTGGAGGAAAAGAAGTATTTTTTTGTAGAAGTAAGATTAATTATATATATGAAGCAAATTGTACCCTTGTTAATCAGTAAGTATTGTTGCTAGGCACTTACTGTTGTGTTATGTGTATAAAATAGCCAAAATACACAACTGTATCATCAGGAGCTTGTCACAATGTTGCCAACTTTAGAACAGCAAATAGTAACCAGCCTTGATGCTTGCATATTTATTTTCTGTTATTGGTTTGTTCTTGGCTTTGAAGAGTGATATGAATTTCGGGGAGGGAGGGCAATGGGCACATGGAATTTAAGGAATTATTGATGGATGAGTACCAGGAAACAAGACCAAATCACAATTAAAGAACTGCAAAATGGCTACTTATTCTTGTCCATCTCAATTTACTCTTTTTTATTTTCTATATTAGTCTTTTCTGAAAAATTTCATAAACTTTGACATTAATTGTCCATAAAAAACATCTTTGAATCCATTCAAATAATAAAAAGTATCACTTTGTGGACTTATCTTTATACACACAAACATAGAGAGAGAGAGTTTTAAAAACAAAAGTAAAAACTAATACTTATATAGAGTAAGGAACGGAAAAAAGGAAATCAAAGGGTAAGCTAAAAGTGCTGGACACTGCCTTCCTTTGGTGATGGTTAAATCACCATTTTTCTCACCAGAAGCAATAAATTGTTGGTGGGATGGCTATTCTTCTTCTTCCAGATTTAAGGAGGAAGCATGAAATCAATCCATCTGTCCTCCGGACTGTCATTCATGAGCATTGAGCATATTACGGAAACAGAGTTTTCCCCAATCAGTGGATGAGTTGATGAAGTGATGAAGAAGTATGGTCGCATTGTAAGAGGCAGTGATGAATTGTTAACGAAGCCACTTTTTGACTTTTTTGTGAGAAAATCAAATGCAATTTGATTTTGGGATTTGATGATTATAATTATATGGAATTATAAAAGTAATGTAGACATGATTGGTTTTGGGTATATAAGTTGGGTAGGTTTTTTATCTACTGTATATCTTATGAAAAAGTTGGAAGCCATTTTTTCTTTTTTCTTTCTTTTTTTTCCAGGTTATTTTGCTTGCTAGCTGATTCTTCTTCTTTCTACTTTCTTTTTTCTTACTTGTTTCCTTTTATTTGTATTTTTGAGACTTAATGAAATCATAAATATAAAAGATAGTGCTTAAAAATGCACAAAAAGAAACAAAAACCCAACCCCAGCCTCAGCAATTCTCACAAACCACAACCACCAGCAGCCACTTAATTGCTTGCCAGCCTTATAGCAAAGCGTCTGGGACTTCCCGAGCTATTCTAATTCCTTCAGGATTGATCTCTCAGAACTTTATACCCAGGTTTTTATATTTAAGGCTCCTGGAAATTGCATGGAGAATAACTATCCTTCTGGAACTTGTAGTTTGCATTACCATTTTAGCTGGTAATCTTAATTTTAAAATTATGTTACTTTACATTTTTCCCCCAGAAAATCAACGCTTTTAATGAAGACCTCTTAAAAATTGTACATGGAGAGGAGGATGTAAAACATTTAACCAACAGAACAATTACAGATATTCGAAAGACATTTAATGAATGGCAAGATACAATTAATGAAAATAATGAAGGTAAACTCAATTCAATTATGTGTTTTTCTGTTACTGGGTGCTTTGTTTCAACATGAGTAGAAGCTTGAATTCTGGATATGCTTTTATTGTTACACATTCAGGTAAGTTTGTTAGTGTTGAGAGGTTCTATATATAACTTTTGTATAAGTTTCATTGAAAATCTGTAAGAAGGAAAATTAAAGTCCCAATCCTCTTTCCTTTGCATCTTTTAACACCTTCTATTTTATGTGTTTTTCCCTGCCACATAAATTTAGGCATGTCCTTCTACTGTTTAAACTGTGCCTCAGTAATCAAACAGGTATTGTCAGAAACAACAATACCATTTTAGGCAAGACATTAATTTTTATTATAGAAATTTTCCTCAGCAATGACAGATATAGTTTGTCCCATGTTATCATTTCTTTCTTAGCTTCATTACATTAATTTCGTTATTTTGATAGTGATACCTAAATGTTTATCTTCTACTCAGTCTTAAAATCCTTTTTATTCTGTTTGATCTTTCCTATTCCTATTTTTGTTAACATCTATTTATTAATCTCAAACCCTGCATTTGTGTTCGCAAGCGGTCATAATTGATATAAATCCAATAGCTACTGAAAACAGAACACAACTTTCAATAATATTTGTTTTACAAAATCCACTGTGATGATGTTGTTGTCTACAGAGACCAAACCATAAATAAATTATACTGTATCCTTGTTGATCCATGGGGGAAAAATTCACAGCTCAAAGCTTTATTAGGAACAACCAAAATTATATAAAAGAATATATAGCCTTGAGCTTAAAGAACTGTTAAATGTGTAAGTGGGTAAGGCATGAAAAAGAGACTGATGTTATAGTTATATCTTGAAAAAAAATAGTGGTATATAGCCAATTTTATCTCAGGATTGAAGCCAAACCAGGTCAGATTAGTTTGTTTTGGAATGGGAGACTCCAGGATACACACTAGAAAAAGAGGTCAGAAACAACCTGGAAGGCAAACCATTTCTATACAGATGCCAAGAAAACTATATGGAAGTGTTCGTGTACAAATTAGGAATTGCGCATGAGTCAAGTCACTACCTTTTTTTTACCTGTAGTAGGCTATACTGTTCAATAAAGGGAAGATATACTTTCAGACAGGTGAATTGGTTCTTCAGGTACAGAGTATTACTCAACTGGATTAAGTTTCTTCCAAAGCTGAGAAGTAGGAACTATCAAGTGTGTGATTCCTTCTGGGAACTTAAGAAACGCCATGAATAAAATAAAATCCAGGAACAATAGTCTACATAAACTTTCTGGCACTAGCTGGGGAACAAGTGCTACAGCACTTAGGACATCAGTTCTTGTTTTGGTATGTTTGATGGCTGAATATTGCAGCCCCGTATGGTTAAATACTGCTCACAGACAAGCAGTGGACACCCAGCTTCATCGTACCATAAGACTAATGTCAGGGGTTTCGCTAGGCTTCGGAGACGGCGGGTTTCGCGATTGCTGCGATCCCGCCGTGCTAGCCGCGCTTGGTTCCTCCGACCCAGACGGGTCTGGAGGATAAGGTTGCCCCGTAGAGGCAACCGAAGACAGGGAGGATCCGGCCAGGGGGTTGGGGTATTCGCAGACCCCTTCCCCACCCGGTTTTAACCTCCTTTTCTCAAGTCGGTCCAGCGGCGGTCAGCAATGGCCGCCACAAAGAAGTCAGCTGCCGGAAAAGATTGTGCTGGAGGAAGAAGGAGAAAGTTTTGAAGCGAAAGTTTTTTTGGCTGAACTGGGACTATAAGATATATTTAACACCCTGAAATCTAAGATTTGACTTGTTTTTTGAAAGATACTTTGTTTCCAGAAGAGATTTACAAGCGGCGAGTGAAAGTGTTTTAAAGAGAAAGTTTACTCTCCTTCCACATGGAATTAACAAAGGAATATTGAAAATCCTACTATTTTACAGAAGGTAAAAATTTAAATTTTTTTTGTTATAAATGGGAAGGGAGAGGACAAAAGGAAAATTTATATTAAGATTTTGTTGAAGGAGATGCCTGGAAGACTTTGGAGATTGGAAGTTATTGCAATAAGAATTTAAAATACAGATTGGCTTTTTTTTCTCCCTTTGCAACTGATATTACCCCAGGAAGAAGGGAAGAACTTTGTGCTCTGTTTGGGCTGTTTGATGACTTTGGGATTTTGGGAAGCTTTGAAATATCTTTGGCAGTTTTAAGAAGAAAAAGAAAGTAAAAAAGAGGACTTACAATGATTTTATCTGCTGATGAACTGAGAGAGGAATATGGCAAAATAAAGACGATGTGGGAGAAATTTTCTGCTTTCTAGAAATGGCGCTTGCTAACTATCAGCAAATACAACAATTAAAGGAAGAAGAAGAAGAAGAAGAAGAAGAAGAAGAAGAAGAAGAAGAAGAAGAAGAAGAAGAAGAAGAAGCCATTTTTAACGAACCCACAGAGCTGATTAAGAAAGGAAGGAGAAAGAGGGGGGGAAAAGGACATAAGACTTAAAAAAATATCTAAGAAAGTGAAAAATAAGATGCAAAACCAACACAGGGCTAGAAAGCAAAGAAAAAGAGAAATACAACAGAGAGGGGAAGTCAAGGGGGGTAAAAAGATCAAATGGGATAAGACAGGGAGGAAGAAGGGGGGAAAAGGCCACAAGGGCATGGAACAAGATGAGAAAAAGAATTTTTTTTTTAGGGACAAAGGGTAATATAATATTGTTTTAAAAGGATTCTGCAAGGTACAGAAGATAGTATTGTAGTATTTGTATTAGAAATAGAAAATTATAACTTTATAAGACTTGAGTAAAGATTAAAACACTAAAGGTTTAATAATGGCAGAATTCAAGATTTAATAAAATATTAAAAGGAAGGTTTAAGATATCTAATTTAAGTATAGATTCTAATTGACTATTGTGTGGATGTGAGTAGGAATATATTATTGTAATATTTGTTTCTGAAATAGATAATTGAAATGTTATGAGATTTAATGTTTAACTATATATTTAATTATGTTATGGATTTATTTTATTTTTTGTAAGTAGTATGTACTAAGCAGAATCAGACAGGGAATTTGGTGTTACCTTAAATGTTAATTTAGAGGTGCGATGGAAAGGCATCATACTTTGATTTGTGTTCTCAGGAGAAATTCTTTTATTTTATTATTGGGAATGAGATAAATAGACAACTGGAAAAGAATGGACAAAGGATAGAAATATAATGATTTAAATTAAGATAATAAGCAAAATAGAATTAAGAAGAGTGGAAAGCGGGAAGAAGTTATAAAGAAGATACAGAATGGTAATTAAGATAGGTAATGGCATTTAAGAGGAATATGAATTTAATTGAAGTCCATACAAAGAGAGGTAATCCAGGGCCAAACTACTTTTTTGAAAAAGAAGTTTTATTTTATGTGTTTTCTGTGTGTATGTTTTATTTGAGATTTAAGAAAACCTTAGACAAAAGCGGGAGGAGAATAATTGCAAATAAGATAGAGGGAAATATGAATAGAATGATTAAATTTAAAGAGAAGAAATGAGAGTGTTAAAGGATAATTAATGTAGAAATGGGATATATTACAACTACACTGTATAAAATAATGTATTATTTGCTTTGTAAAAATTTAAGGAAAGAGGTTTAATGGTTACAAGGTTTATGTTTTGTTTGTCTTTAAAAATTAATAAAATTTGTTTCAAAAAAAAAAAAAAAGACTAATGTCAGGAAATATTAAATTAACACCTTCCAAATGGCTACTGGTACTATCTAACATACCTCATTCACAACTTAGAAGACAATCAGCCTTGAAAAAAGGAGTGGCAGAAATGTGAGGCCGTCTGATTTTTACCTATGCACGAAAATTGTGAAGATCAAATAATGAGGGTCAATTCTTGGAACCTGCCATGGAAACAAATTAGGCAGAGAAGACTTTGACATTGAGATAGTATGATGCAAGGGAATGGGCAACTTCTAACTTCTAACTTCTAATCTGTTTAGTGTTTGATCGAGAACAACCCACCGTTGTCTTTAGTCTTCCACAGAAAACCGGATTCAAAAAAAGCATAGCAGGTACCAATATTGGAAATACATATTTGGGGGGGGGGGGGGGCTGTTCTAACTGTGACTGTGGGAATGTCCCACAAATCACGTTGCAATGTATATTGCCCCCTCAGAAAGAGGGATCCCTGCAAAAACTACATCATCTTGAGGACACTGCTGTACAATAGCTAAATGATCTAATTATCCAGGCATGGGCTTAGCCACTTTAGTAACTTCTCATACATAGTTTAATTTTATTCATCATTTGAATTATGCATTTTTAAAATACAGCCAGACTTCGGCACTCAACTGCTTCAAAATTCATCGAATTCAGTGTTTGTCACATTTTGAAGCAGAAATCTTGTCCCAGTGGTTGTCTTTCTCCCAGTAGTGAATGCACAACGAAGAACTTGCTGATGTCAGCACCCTGTGACTCACTATTTCTTCCAGCATAAATAGAGGGTCATGTGGTTTTCTTGGTACCTGTCAGTTTTAGTATTCGTTGCATCTTCCGGGAAGAATTACCAATAGATACTGAGGTACTACTGTATTTCACTATTGAGGTATTTTATATTTTGATACACATTTTATATGCTGTTTTGTGAATATTACAAAATATTCACAACAGCATATACATTTTTTGTTGTATACAGCATATACAACAAAATACATTAATGCTGTATTCTGTTAATCATGTCACATGATGTATCATGATGTATTGTGACTTTTTTGCCTTTGTAGAGGGTGTGGCCTATGTGTGATGCATCTGTGGGCCACCAGTTTGACAGGCCTGTGTTACATCATAAGACATAAATAAATAAAAGCAGAAAGGGCCATTCTCTTCTAGTCATAGATGAGGTATGGCCTATGAGAGAAACAAGGAAGAAATTTTAAAATCCTGCTCTGCATATTATGGCCAGAACATTAACATCCAGAATCTTCTCCAAGACAATTGCCAAAGATTGCTGGGGTACAGAATGCTGTGGCCAGATTGCTATCACATGAATCCAGCTATTATAACACCAATTTTTGCCATGCCTGATATTATTGCCAATAACCTTCTAAGCCCAATTGAAAGTACAGGTCATTTATAAAGCCTATAATAATGCTACAGCTGTGTTAAATTAGGCACTTTAGAATTATTCTGCTTGTTTCGTCAGATAAACTGTGAGTCATGGGCTAGGATACAATCTTTTCTGGGGCCGTCTGAAATCTGGAAGGTTTTGGTGCAGAGAGTTGCCTAATTCCTTTGCTGCTGATATTCTATAAAGCAACAGAGGCTTCTTTTTCATTGGTATTTGATAATCAGAGATGGAAAAGTTGCTGTGGGATATGCTTTGCTTTTTATAATTGGATCTTTTGAGTTGAATTTGTGAGATGTTGAGTATTGTTTAGATATGTTTTACGCTGATATTTTAGATTCTAGAATTGTTCTTGTTGAGTGATACAGATGTTTGTTAAATAAAGTAAAAAAACTATTTTGCAGTAAATCATTTTAAGCACAGAAGAACTGGGAATATTGAATATATCCGTGGCAGAGAACTTCCAGGGTTTGTCAATTACAAAACCTTTGAGATCGCTGTAAGAAAGCAAATTCGTCAACTAGAATGTCCAGCAAATGCAGTGTTGAAGGAAGTTGCAGGTAAGTTCTAATTTTCATGTTCTCATTTTCATGAAGTACTTTTGTGCCTGACTCTTTAAGAATATTTGCCCAGTAGGCAGAGTTTTTGGTGTGCATTGTTTAATACAAAAATACAGGGTTTAAATAAGTACCACGGAATATGGCGATGCAAAGTCTTAGAAAAATGTATAATGTTATAAAGGGCTTTTGTGTTCTTGAATTGGCAGTTGTATGGGCTCTGCCTGCTATGTAAGGTCTCCCTGTTGCACTGATGGAAGGACTGTTCCGACAATGCTGAAAGTTTCCACTGAAACTGCACAAAAGCAGAACTCTTTATTCAGCATAGTTTAAAACTATACCAATCCTACAATAGTGTGTTTAATTCTGTCTTGTGATATATAGATAGAGAAGGTGACTAAGCCCTGGGCAGTCATCTCTCTTACTTAGCACTGGGGTTGAGATGGGATGGACAATAATTTAAACTGTCAAGTAAGGGGAAACTGACAAATAATCAAAAAAGCCTAGCTGTTTATTATTATTTTTATAAAAAATTTATTTGGGTTTTCACAAAACATAATATAAGTAAAGTTTCTTTTTTTGAGAATAGCATGGTCCCGGGTTATCACTTCTCCATACAGACACAAATTCAATTTCATATTCATCTTTGTGTTCTATTCCATACCTTATTACTATTTTAACATTTTCTCAATAATTTTTTCCCTCCCTTAGTTTTCTCAACTTTGTTTTTAATTATCTCATACCTATCTAAATTCAATTATATATCTTTTTTTAAGTTTCAATGTCTTTCTAATCATTATATTTATACTTTTGTCTGTCCTGTTTCAATTTCATATTATCTTTTCTCATTAAACAAAATTTTTCCCTGTAGTTACTAATTGGTGTATGACACCTTTGTATCTTTTAATTTTTATCCATTCAACTCTTATTTAAACTTCAATTTATGCCTTTACAACGATAACATTCAATATAACACATAACTTCCAGTCAAATTCTGCTTGGTACATTCTTAAAATATGCACTAAGTTCTTAAAGAGAATAAATATATATATATATATAACAATAATAAATAAAATACTTATTCTATTCCAATTCAGCTCTATCATTAATGTTAGTTATAATCTTTGACATCTTTAATATTTCTTTTCAATAGGGTATTATACTTCTAGGAACACTTATAATATTTCCATAATTTTTTCATGTTTCTTTCATATTCCTCTTCACTTAAATTTTTATAACACATTTATAATAATTAAAATGTTCCCCTCCTTTCCTAATTTCATTCTCTCATTCTCTTTATTTCATTTATTTATTAAACATTCCATTACATTACAATGAGTATTTATCTATCATTTTAATCACACTTGTTTCATATTTTCAAAGTTCATTTTTATTTCTAATATAACAATACTATTTTATGTACCCTTGCAGAATCCCCCTTTCAATTAAGTTTTCACCCATTATCTCTGTGTCTTCTAAATAGGCTTATACCTTTAATCCTTGTATGTTTTCCCTGTTTCTCTATGTCCTGTTTCTGTCCTTTATAACAGTGATCCCCAACCTTTTTGACACCGCGGCCCGGTACCGGCATCAGCTGTGTGCCGCGGCCCGGTACCGGCATCAACTGGGCGCCGCCATCTTTTTTTGACGAAAAAGATGGCGGCGCCCAGCAACCAGCGGCCCGGTAAGACTTGTTCCGCGGACCGGTACCGGTCCGCGGACCGGCGGTTGGGGACCCCTGCTTTATAACTTCTTTTCCTTTCCCTCTTCCCCCTCTTCTTCTCCCTCCCCTTTTTGACCCCTTGTCTCTCTAATTCTCTCTTTTGTAATCCTCTCTTCTGTTTCTTCCTAATGTTGTAATTACTTTTCAAACTATTCTTTTTTGGGGTTGTTTTTTCAAATCTTAAATTTTTCACTCTCTTTCTTTTCTTTTCCCCACATAGAAATACTTGATCATTGAAGATGGCTTCTTCTTTGTTCCACCCTTCTTGTTCTACAGGCATTTCTTGTTGTTTCTCATAGTTCAGGATCTCCATTTCTAAAAATTGAACTATGAAGCCAAAAGAATCTCTTCCTTCTTGTGCATTTTCTTTCTGTTTTTTAAATTCCATTCTCAATTCTTCCAAGAGTGATACCATTTTTAAAACTTTTAAATAATCACCTGATTAATTTTAGTCCTTTAGATCAGGGGTCCTCAACCACCGGTCCGCGGACCGGTACCGGTCCGTGGAGCACTCTGTACCGGGCCGCAAAGAATTTTTTTTAAAAAAATGGCGGCTTTCTTCGCCTTCGGTGAATGCTGCTGGGATTGGGGATCAAGGACACAAATGAGAGAAGGGGAGGGAGGAAGCAACCAAAGCCTGTCCTGCTCTCTGGCTCAGCAGCTTCGGTTTCCTCCCGCCTCGTTCCTCTCTCAGTCGCTCTCTCGCTGCTCCACCAGCCCAGGAAGAAACTGCTTCAAAGAAGCCGGGGGGGGGTGGCTTTTCCTGTCGCCGCAGCGCCTCCGAAGCGCCCGTTTACCTCCACCCCGCACGCCCGCGCGCGCTTCAATTCAGTGCTCCATTCTGCCTGCCTGCCTTCGTTTCAGAGCAGCTTCGCCTGAGAATAATAACTATTCGCCTCTTTTTATCAGTCGAAGCTGCTCCGAAACGAAGAAGGCAGGCAGGCAGGCAGAACGGAGCACTGTGGATTGAACCGCGCGTGGGCGGGCGGGGTGGGGGTGGGGGTAAACGGGCGCTTCGGAGGCGCTGCGGCGACAGGAAAAGCCACCCCCCCGCTTCTTTGAAGCAGTTTCTTCCTGGGCTGGTGGAGCAGCGAGAGAGCGACTGAGAGAGGAACGAGGCAGACACCCTGAGGGAGGGAGGGAGACACCTGAGGGATGGGGCTGAGGGAGGCAGGGCCGAGGCGCTCCCTGAACTTGGTGGTTTGCTGGCAGACGTTTTATTACCCGACTAGGTAACAACATCAGATGAAACGTCTGCAAGCAAACCACCAAACTCGGATTCTTCTCTCTCTCTCCCCCCCCCCGGTCCTTGAAAAAGTGTTTGTGCTTGAAACTGGTCCCTGGTACAAAAAAGGTTGGGGACCACTGCTTTAGATCCAATAGCCAAAAATCCAAAAATCACCAAGTAATCCAAATAATCCAAAGCTGTTTCTTCTTGCTTCTTTTTTCCACTTTCTCTTCCTGCGGTTCTCTTATCTTGTTACAAAGTTTCAGTTGAAATGTATCTTTTGGGAATCTTGTTAAAGTTTCACTGTTAATTCCTTTCACTTCCAGGTGGTCTCCTCCATTTTTCCGGATCCCATCCTTTTGTTTTTTTCCTTTTTTAAAAAGTTTTTGTGAATCCAGAAATCTTTATTATCCCTTTGACATTTTATTTTCAGCTTAAATACCTGTTAATGTCAAAGTGGATTTTTGCCGGTTTCTTGTTTAAATCTCTTAGTTGTCAATATAGGGAAGAAAAGAAAAAAACCCAAATCCTTTCCCTTCTCTCTCTCATTCACCGCTTCAAAGTCTTCTTTGGGAACAATGTTGTTCTTTATAATTCAAATTCCAGGGTACCTTATAATGTTGCTTTTTCAGTTCGACCTGGTCAGCCAAAACTTTCTCTTCCTCCTGCACATTCTTTTCTGGTCGAGTTCTTCTTCGAGGTGGCCATTTCTGACCACCGCTGCAATCGCCTTCGGGAAAGGGAGTAATGGCCAGCTGGGGAGGAGAGCAGTCTCCCCCCTCTTCACCACCTCTACGGGGTGGCTTAGCCCTGAAACTAGATGGCTCGGGGCGCTCCAGCTGCAAGCACAGATCGAAACTGCGCATGATCGCAGATTTCGGTCTGTTGCTGAAGAAGCTCAAACCGGAAGCCCTTAAAAACCTAGCTGTTTATTATTATTCTTGCATAGCCAAGTGTCAGCCACACACCCAGTCACACATTCATACCTCTTTCCCTCTGTGTCTCTGGGCTCACCTGATGCCACAGTACACCATGCAGGCTGGGAAGGGTGCACCTGCAGCAGGTGGTGGCAGGGTGTGGTTGGTGAACTACTCAATGAACTTGTGCAGGCAGATGTAGAGCACACTCAGGTGGTAGATGCAGGCCAGGAGGGCAGCCTTGCTTGGGTGCATCAGCTTGGAGGAAGAGGAAGGGCACTGGGCTGGGCCCACGGAGGGACAGAGGGATGCCCCCCGGCCCCACCCCCACCTGCAGGCAACCACCCATGAAGGAGCACTGAGATACCAAAATGGCCTCAGGAGAGGCCGGCCAAGGCAAGGAGTGCCGGGAGGAGAGGGGTGAGGCCAGCCAGTGGTGGGATCAGCTGGTTCTCTAAACTGCACACAAAATTAACAACCAGTTCGGCTGAACTGGGCCAAACCAGCTAAATCCCATCTCTGACCCTGCAAGATTTTGTACCAAATATGGTCTCTCAATAGCTTAATATGGAGAGTTCTTGGTGATTTCATTGGAACACTGGCACAACTCCATTTTTAACTTAAAATGTAAGATATATAGTTAATAAATCAATTTTACATTAAAACTATGTTGTACAAAATTGTTCAGATTTTTCCAGGATTCCGCTCTGAAAACACACATGCTTTATAGTATATTGGATGTAAACAGAAACCTGTAGAAAAAACTTCGTTTCATGCCTTATGTCCCACACTTCTGATTTTAACATACATATTTACGTAGATCAAAGGAGGTGTAAAGGATTTAATCTCAATATCCAAGTGCTGAATGTCCAGATTGGGATCTGCCCAGGGATGGGATTCAAATTTCTTAACTGGTTATGTGGGCGTGGCCTAATTTGTGGGTGTGGCTTGGTGGTCGTGTAACTGACTGGGCGTGGCTTGTATGTAAACATTGTAAATATTTATGTAAATATTGAATTTTTTTACTAAAAAAAGAACAACTTTTACCCAAAATCAGGCAAAGCAGGCAGGCAGATTGAGTTGCTTGTAGAATCACAGATTCACTCACAGATCTACCTTTCTGCAATCTGTTGCCTGAGTCTGCACTGAAAAATAGAAGCTTCAGTCCTAAGGAAGGTTCAACTCTGCTCTCAGGCCATTTCTCCCCCCCCCCCGAATACCACCCCTGACTGGGCCTCAGGGAAGCCTCTTGGGTGAAGGCAAAGCAGTACAACAGGAATTTAGATTAGCTAGAAAGCAAGAAATCTGTCAGTTTCCTGCTTTCTAGCTAATCTAAACGGCGGCACAGCTGATAGTCAAAATAGCTGATCGTCGGGGGGAAAAAGAAAAACAACTTACAAAAATTAGATGAAGGCACAATGCAGGCAAGTTGGATGGTGCGTATGTGAGATAAGGAGTGGTGGGGCAGGGCAAGCGGGGTGGGACAGGGCCAGCCAGTGGCACGATTTTCCAGTTCTCCAAACTGCGCAGAATCGTAACAACCGGTTCTGTAGAACTGGTCCGAACAGGTAGAATCCCACCCCTGGATCTGCCTAGAATTTTACATGCTCCTGTCATTAAATTGCTCCCTCTATTGTTATTGCTCCCTCTTTTTTCTAGAACTTGTGCGGAATGCATTTTGGGAACTTGCTATCCAACACTTCAGTAGTTTCTATGCTCTCTGCAGATCTGCTCAGGTAATTATTAGCCATACCTGCAATGAATTTCCAAAAGCATAGCCGTGTAGCTTAAAGTGAAAACAATAAAGCATTATAATAAACAAATTCATTATTTTGGAAGATTTTATGGATCACTGTCCACTTCAGATGTATATGTGCATGTCTGACTAAGAATAAATCTATATTTATGTCCTAGCACAGTTAATTGCATTGATGACATGATGGATAGTGTGACTTGAACTGGTTCACCATTTTGAGTTATCTGCTCTTCAATCAGACTTATTTTCTGTTTTCAAGGCAGAGCAGAACTGCAGTCTAGATTCCACTGTGATCTGTGGGGAACCTCCTTCCCCCAAACTGTAATTCTACTAAACTCAGATTGTGCTCTAACTCCGTACACTTTAAATAAGCCATCAAGGATAGGATTGATATTCTTGTAATTCTCAAACCTCCTGAAAAGCACTGTGCTGGGGAAATTTAACATATTTAAATAAAAGTTGGGGTTGGAGAAACACATATAAATTCTGGATGACTAATAATGATCCACAAAAACCTATAATAAAATATCTTTAAGTCAAGCAAAAAAGAAGAAGAAAAACCATAATACATAATACCTAAGGAACCATATAATTGTTTCATTCCCACAAATATGGCACACTGTTTTTTGTTATGCAGGGCAAAATTGAGGAATTAAAGAGCACACAAGAAGAGAAAGCAGAAAGTATGATACGCACTCAATTTGAACTGGAAGATATAGTATACTGCCAGGACACTATTTATTGTGAAGATTTTGGAACTGTAAGAGCGACAAAAATCTCTCTTAATGAAAATGATTCTGATGAAAATGATTCTGATGAAAATGATACTTCAGATAAGTGCTCAGTGGAGGAAATGCTTTACCATGTGGCTGCCTACTTTAAAGTAAGTTCAATAGTTTGTGAGTTATTTATCTCTATTTTTAAATCCCTTTTGTGTGTTTCATTTATTTAGCCATTAATAGATGTAATTTAGTAGTTTTTAAAATATATCGACTTCCCTGAGGATATATCTTTGGGTGTCAAACATTCAGTACTTGCAATTAAATATTTTACTGAAGTAACAAGTATCTTTTTACTTTTATTAAGATATCCTTCTTTTACAGGTTTAAATGAACGAAACCGCAAAGGTTTCATAAAAGTAATTAGCGTGCAGTGTTTGCATGATGAAATCATTAGCACAGGTCTAAGTAGGGCTAGTAAATATCAGCTTAATAGGTCCATATTAATCATATGACAGCCTGCAGACGTAGAAATACGTTGGCCTTTGCACAGAAACACATGTATACTGTGATGACCCGGGGCTGGGCACAAAAGCAACACAGCTGGAGTGTAGGCTTAACTTCCTTTTATCGTTCCAACTTTTCTCCCCAAACTTCCCACAGTTCAGTGTAAGTCCAAGATCAATGCTCCAAACACGCACACATTAGTTCCTGGCTGCTGTGAGTCCAGAGAAGCAGCCAGTTTCTGAGAACAAACACAGTTCAAGGAACATGGTTCCAGGGAGGCCTCTCGTCACACGGAGGGGTTGCTGGAGCTGCACCACAACACAAAGAAGGAGCTGTGTCACTGAGTACTTGCCCAGAGCAAGGCAAGTTGTACCCAGGCAAAGCAAGGCTAAGCACAGTAAGAGAAAGTGGCAGGATGTCAGTGACTTGCAAGCAGGGCTGAAAAAAAAGGCAACACTTGTTCCCAACAAGTGCCCCTCCCCACGACATCTTTAAATCTTATTCCCCAGGTGAGCCTTGTGATGAGGGGTGGGGTGCCCTCCCCCCCAGCCGTTGGTTCACCCTGCGCTGATCCTGCCTCTTCTCCACCCTCCATGCTTGAGGATGGGGCAGGAGAGGCAATTGTTCCTCTCTGCAGCCACCTACTCTTTCCATCCTCCTCCTCCCTCCCTCAGTTGTCCTGCACCCTCTCCCCATCTCTGGCCACATCTCCAAGGCCAAAGGGACTGGGACTGCCGTGTCCTGCTCCTCTGAGGCAACAGAGGCTGCACCATCCTCCTCTGTCAGCCCTGGCTGTTTCCTCCTCCTCAGACCCAGGCTCCGACAGGGCCGTGACATATACATATTGACATAGTGTAGCATTAACCAAGAACTGCTTTGCTTGGGGCCTCCTGACATGGGTGGAATGCTGCAAAGACACAAGATTTCAGCTTTGCAGGTTCTCTTCAGGTTAAATTAAATTTTATGCCATAATTTTTCAAGATACTAAAATGCAGAATGTATATGTGAAGGGTAGAATTATTTAGTAATTATTTTATTAAATAATTCTTCCCCTCTACTCTGCTGAGATTCTACTTTGAAGGGCTATGTCAGTGCTGGATACCAGAGTTCAAAAAAAGACCATGATAAATTAGAGCAAGTTGAGAAGGATCTAGTGATACATTGAGGTGTCTGAAAACAGAGCAGCTCTGCAAGGAATATCAAATGATATTTGAGTATGTTTAGCCAACAGAAAAAAAATGAAGGAAAATGAAATAATCTTTAAGAGTTTATTTGAAGAGAAAGTCAACAGTCTTTTTACATCTATATCGTGAGGACAATTCAAATTAGTTTATTGGCACCAATTTGCTGTGTTCATCCACTTCCATGTAAACAGAATTGCAGCTTCTGTAAAAGTGGTTACTTATAGGATTTATAATTTTTTTGTGGAGTCGACTATGGGACAGTACAGGTAGTCCTTGACTTATGACCACAACTGTGACCACAATTTATGTTGTTAAGTGAGAGTGTTGTTAAGTGACTCACATCCAGTTTTATGATCTTTTTTGTCATGTTTGTTAAGCAAATCATCGCAGTTAAGTGATTCATGCAGTCATTGAGTGAATCCAGCTTTCCCTATTGACTTTGCTTGCCAAACATCACAAATGGTGATTACATGACCCTAGGACATTAGAATTGTTGTAAATACAAGCTGATTGCCAAGCACCCAAATTTTGATCACATGACTGGGGATGCTGGGTTGGTGGTGTGAGGATTTTTTGTGAGTGCTGTTGTAACGTTGGTCACTAAACAAGTGGCTGTAAATTGAGGACTACCTGTATCTTCTGGCAGGTGTGTGTGGTGGGGATAGTATGGATCTCCCAACAGAAACAGCTTGATTTTCATTTTGTGATGGGGTACAGATTCGCAAGAGACAAGGCTTTGATGTAAACCTTAGCATCCTAGTAGGGAGAGATTATGGAATATCATATGTCCCCAGCCATTTATATTACCCTGGTATAATTTTTCCCCCTTAACTTTGCTTTCAGAGTGTAAAAGTCCGGCTTGGTACTCAGATTCCTTTGATCATACAGTTATACATGTTCAAGGATTTTGCTGAGAGGTTACGGAAAGCAATGTTGCAGCTTTTGCAAAGCGGAGATCAGTTGGAAGATCTCTTTCATGAGGAAGAGGATACTGTCAACATAAGGAATTCTTTAAAAGAAAGGATTGAACGACTTCATAAAGCTCAAAAACTGTTGAAAAAGTTCTAATATTTGTATATAAATATTTCTATATAAAAAGTTCTGGTAGCAGCTCTGTTTCGGTTAGATAGGTGAATTAAGGGTATTTGTAACTTATGTTTAACATTTGTAATATTATTCAGTGATGTTGCTGAGCTTCAATAGCGCATTTAGAACCACAATTGGCAAAGAAAACTGAACATAATTGGAATTTGTATTTGCCTATATTACATCCACATTATAAATCACTGTTAGTTACTATGGACCTTTCCATGCTATTGAGTCAATATGCTATCTGTCCATGTGCTACAACTATATTAGCATAATGTCTGCTGTCCCCAATGCATTATGTTCAAAACAGCAGAAATAACCTTCTTCTCCCAGTTCCAAGGTTGTAAGAGGAATAAATCTATCTTCAGCACACTTCCATCATTTTTACACTCCTTTTTGTGTGTAGTCTATATACATTGTATTGTAACCCAAGCTGAAGAAAGGTTAAAAGATAGAAAGAGAACCAAATCATAAACTATTTAGGGTTTCTCATCCTTTTTCATTATATATGCAACAAATATTGATAAGCTCCTTCATGTAAATGAGAGGTGAGGTGGGATGGGGAAAGGTATTGGTTCTAGTATTCAAAATTGGAACAGCCTCCCACTTCAAAATCAAAGGGCCCCCACCTTTTTAGCATTCCTGAAGGCCGTGAAGATCTGGCTCTTCCCCAAGCATTGAGTTAGGAGGTGGTTCAGCAAGGAGGTTGATAGCTGGTTGATATGCTGTCTAGTAAAAAAAAGGTTCATTTCATTTTATTCTGCTTTAATGTGAGCCACCTAGGATCACTATGTAAGGCAGATGGCCATACAAGTAGTTTAAATAAATAAACAACCCAGCCATTTAAATTGTTATGCTAGTTAACCTCAATATCATTTCACATTTATCAAGTTCTGGAAAATGGATTATTTCATGAGCCACTGTGTTCCACTATTTTAGGACAGAGTAGCAGAAGGGCAACAGGTAATGCTGACCTGAGACTGAAGAGAAGTTGGTGTGTCTATTACCTGAAAGGGCAATTAGTATCTCTGTGGTACAATCTGCCACTGCTCATCTCTGCGTAATGACTTGAGAAGCATAACATGATATGCACCCTGGGAGAAAATGCTATGTTAACACTGGAATAGCTAAGAATGTCTTAACACTGACTCACTCATGGTGTTGGGACTAATTGAAACCAATATCATGAGGGGAAAACACACTGCTGAGGCATGCATTTATCATGGTAGGACCACTGGAGAAGGGCCATAAGTTTTCATTTCTTCATAGATACACCCACAAGGTTGTGTCATCTGTCACAATGCATATTCTTATTTCTAAATGGAAGTATGGTACATTATTACATTTTCTTAATCTTCAGGATCTATTTTTTTTAGCATATAGCCTGGGAAGTAAATATATAGGCTAAATGTCAATGAAGACTCAATTATCCAGGGCAAAAGTGTTTTAAAAAGTTAAATTAAAGTACTATACCTGTATATCAGTATAACTAATTTAATCTTTTAAAATGTAGGCTAAGCAGATCAACAGGGTTCAGGTGAAATAGAATACTGCAGTTCTCCCCTTGCTTCTCTGAGGAGTCCTATTGATTTCAGTGGATCCTATCAGTACTCACATATAGGAGTTTAAGTTATATTTGATTAGCAGATCAGCAACAATATAATTACATTTCTATTTACTAAATTTTATTAAGCTTCATTAGAAGATCAAAATATAGAAGGAACAAACATTAGAAAAAGAAAAGTAAGAAGAGATAAAAGAAATGACTTCCAACTTTTTTTCTTTGCAATACTGTAGATTGCCAAAATAATAAAAAATCTCAAATGTTTTCAGTGCCTTCTTGAGGTTGCTTGTATTGTATGTCACCCTAGCCCTCTGATATCTCATTAATGCAAAAATTTACTATATGGAACATTTAAACTTCATTACTGTCTTCAGATTGGTAATGAAAATAATAAACATTAAGCAGAATTCAGTAACAAAAATGATTGACATTACATCTGAGAAATGTGCATAGAAACATAGTATGAATATTCCAGAGCAATCTTTGTAATTTGAATTCAGTTATTCTAATGAGCATTCCAGTAAGATCTGCAACATACAGTATTTCCACCAAAAATATTACCTGAAATTAAACAATTTATTGCATGAAATGTGTTTTTGCAGTAAGAAATAAAAACCTGTACATTCATCTTTTAAGGTTACATTTAGGAGAACAAAAGTAGAATACACTATGTTGAAATTGTGGAGACTTTGTAATATGCTTGGCAATCCTGAACATTGTGCAAATTAGTGCATGTGGTCTCAATCTGTGGTCTGCGAACCCCTGGGGGGGCATGATGTCATCACAGGAGGTCCAAAGGCTTGAGACAAATGTTATGATTTAAATCTTGGGGGTCAATGGTGAAAAGGTTGAGAACCACTTGTATATAGTTTATCATTAACATAGTAAAATACAGCCAGGTAGTCAATTTTAGTCAATAAAACAGAATTAAATAATTAATGGTATAATGGGAATGGCTTTGCTTTTATGCATGTGTAACTGTCATGTAACTTTGTAACCAGCCAGCAATTCTTTTTGTTTCCTGTAGTAAATTGTATAAAAGTAGTTCTGCCCGATTTCTGGTGTGTTCGTTGGGTGTGAAACCTAGAGGTTTCTCCCTCTTCTGCTTTCAATATAGAAATAAAGTTTTGTCTTTTCTCAATCTTGTGTGGACATTGACTTTTTCACAACGGATTCCCCTAATTACCCAGGCTTTTGGCCAACTGGGAATATGCACAATTTTCCTTCAGATCTCCCAGCTGAAAGTGGGGAATTGGATAGTAGGAAATACATGTTATATGTATCAACCCATCAAGCAAAAGAAGAACACAATTAAAAGGGAAAAAGAATTGCAAATTCTTGTGGCCAGTATGAATTTGTGGACTTGACAGGGCTTGTAAATTGAAGCTGCACAGTGGCTAAAAGCACTGCGGCTGCCTTGTAATTAGCCTTAACTAAGCCATTTCCTCTCAACCATCCCACCCTATCCAAATCTGCAACCTGAGAATAATAACACTGACTAAGGAAATGGCCAGGGAATTTTAAGTGGCAACCAGGGAGAAGAATTTTCTTTAATGAAGCTGTAGAGTCACAGAACATCCTCACTCAGTAATTAAGATGTTTTTATCTTTCCAAGGCAGAAGGTCAGAACATTTATTGAAGGAATAAAGGATGCTGTCTTTATTGTGCATTCTGGTTTGATATAATTTTTACCCCATTTAACTACAATATCAATTTTTAAAACCTTTGTTTATGTGAGCATCAAGTATAAATCATACTCAGGTTTTTTAAACAATAGAATAGCAAGAGGTTTCGAATATTCATTCATTCTATTCATTCATTCGTTTTGTATAGCCATCAATTTCAGCCAATGACTCTGGATGGCTTAAAATTATTTTAATTGTTGTAATTATAATGAAGATGAAGATAGACAAAGGATAGATGATACTCTTTCCCTGAAAATAAGACCTACCAAAGCATATTTTATACATGCACCTAATATAAGCCCTACCCCCCCCCCCCCAAATAACCCCTACTTAAGAGCTGTGCAGCTGGCTGGCTGCCTTTTCCTTCTGGTCGCTCATAGTGCCCTGCCCATGAGACAAGGTGGGTGGGATGAAGCTGCCCCATACCTTACGCACTGGCTTACTTCAGAGCACCCATGCCCTGACACCTGCCTCACGCACAGGCAGCACCAGTAGACATGTGCAGCAGGAGTCCACATGGCTCCCAGCCCACTCCTGCTTGCTCATGGCTGCAATGGAGTAGGAGGTTGAGCAGTACGTTAGTGCTGTGGCCGTGAGACTGATGACAGGGCATGGATGGCCTGGCTGCGGGGGCCCTGAGGTAAGGTGGTGCAGGGCATGTGGGGCAGCTCCACCCCCCTGCCTCGCAGTGGCAGCACTGGCACATGCACCTCCTGCCACACTGCAAACAAACAGAAGTGGGGGGGAAAATAAGGCACCCCCTGAAATAAGCCCTCATGCTTATTTTGGGGCCCAAAAGAAAATAAGAACTGGTCTTATTTTCAGGGAAACATGGATAGATAGATAGATAGATAGATAGATAGATAGATAGATAGATAGATAGATAGATAGATAGATAGATAGATAGATAGATTGTAGGTGGGTTTACTCAATGTTCTTAGCTATGATTTATTGAAGCATGACTTGCTGAGTAAACCACTTAGGTAAGTTCACATAACTTACTAAATACTTTGTCATTGTCTGGAGGCCATTCCTGGACAAAAAACCCTGTTCGCAGTCACCTATGCCTAGTCACCTCCCATCTTGACTAATGCAAGGCACTCTACATGAATCAGACAGACAGACAGATGATAGATAGGATAGGTGATAGATTAAAATTACTAAAAACATTTTAAAACAAAAAAAATAGTAAAAACATTCAGATTAAATATACAGTACAAAGGAGCAAGATCAGCCATGTTAAAGCCATGAGCTTTAACACATTCAGCACTTCAAGCATGAAAACACAGTCAGGTTTTTAAGACCTAATGAAAGGCTAACAGGATCGGGGCCATTGTAATCTCCCAAGGGAGGATGTTGCATAGAGCAGGAGCTACTGAGGAAAAAGCTTATCTTCTGATCTCTGCCAGCTGACATCACTTTTATCCAGGCAAAAAGCTGGGACTGAGAGCACTTGGAATAGAAAAGGATTTGGTACTGCCAGCAATTGCTGTATTTGCAGATGAGAGCTCTTCTAGACACATTGTCTGGAGTCTCCCCTCCTATTCCCATGTCTGGGCAAGCATGATTGACACAGGAAATATGGGAGGCAAGACCATCCCTATCCTTGGATCTTTATGCTGGAGACAGTATAGTCATCACTGTCAGCAAGTCATCGTTGATGTTGGAACAGAACTGACAAATGTGGGATGAAGCATATTTTTGCCCCTCTTCTTAATTTCATTTAAAATGCACAATTTTTCTGCTGAAATTTTTATGTATATATTTTGTTTATTCGTCTTTATTCACTCTCCCTGCCCTATTTCTCACTCATTTCAGGGAATATCTGCACTATATCTGATAAGAAAGAAAGAAGGAAGGAAGGAAGGAAGGAAGGAAGGAAGGAAGGAAGGAAGGAA